TTCTACTTCAGTCTTCTTTTAGCAATAAAAATAGCTCCTAAATCTGTGAAACGTTAGGAGTAGTGAAGAGGACTCCTAAGTCACGAAGACCAAGCCACAAATATACTAAAATGGCTGTTGCCGGCAATCTGCCTTTGAACGTAAACATTTGATAATTATGACCTTTTAAAAAGGTATCGCCTTTGGTTTTGGAGGTTATCCCAACTCCAAATTTTCCTTTGATTATATCCTTGTTTTCATTAACCAGTTGGGCAAGAAGTAGGCTAACAGCTGTTCTTGCGTCCAGTTGTTGTTGTTTTTTTTGTTTTTTTTTACTTTTGCATTTATTACTATCAGCCATGATTATTCTACTCTGTTAATTAAAAGGCTGTTTATATTAGAAGTCGACCGATTCATCAACACGATAGTTGATTGGCGGAAATATCGGTTATCAGCAAAAATCCATGCGATAGTTTTCCGGGATGCGTCCGTTGCTGGAGTGGCTGAGAAAGGTCTGCTTCCATTATACAGTACGAGAGCTGCCTCGAAAGGTGGAAATTACTAACAGCACTTGTTGTTTGTTTTGACACGTGAAACTTCAAACACTCATTTAAATGCAGCCGACAGAAAATCCTGCCACGAAACAGTGTCATTCACATAGTTTTCCATTAAATTACATTATATATGTCCCAAATTGTTAATGTACATAATAACTTCACCCTAAATAAACTTTTTCGGACCGGCACTTGAATTGAGCGTGACCCGTCTGGTATGTGATACCCATGAGTTGACATAGCCGCAACGTGGTGCTGTGCTTCTCGTCCGGTGTGTGACCGGCATGTTTTATTTTGATTAGATTGTTTATTAAAGGGCACCTATTATGCCATTTTTACAAGATGTAATATTGGTCTTGGGTGTCCCCAGAATGTGTCTGTGACATTTCAGCTCAAAATACCCCACAGATAATTTATTATAACCTCTGGAAAATGTCATTTTGGGGGCGTGTCTAAAAAAAGAGCTGTTTTGGTGTGTATCACTTTAAATGCAAATGAGCTGCATGTTCCCGCCCCCTCTCCAGAAGAGGGCATTGCATATACGTCTCTGCGTAGCATACCTACAGCAATAAACAGCCGGTAGCAGGGCTCCAGACTAACTATTTTTACAAGGAGCACTGTAGCCCCTTACTGAAAATTTTTAGGAGCACAAGCAGGAAATTTAGGGGCACACCTTAAATTAGCCTGCAATGCAATCGTTCACACATTTTCCCCATTTTAACTGTATTACTGACAAATGTTTTGATAATAAATAGACTTAACTCATAGAAATTACAATGTGCATTATTCTTTTAATTTCAGAGGGATATGACATACATTATATATAAATATATATATATATAAATATATATATGAGAGATGAAGTTACTATTTTGCATTATTAAAGTGCGTATACTATTCTGTGTTGTTATTATTAACCCCCACGAAAGCCACAAAAACATTATAAAGCACCATAAAGTTTTCGTGCACTATTTAAAGTGTTCTGAAGTTGTTCAATAGTTTAATGTGAGGTACAAATGATAAATAAATATTAAAGTCAAGTTCACGTAAACTCTTCTCTCCACTGCGGCTGTCTGTCATCCTGCATTCAGACTGCGTGTCGCGTTCGGTTAGTCAAGACGATGAAGCTCTCTCCAAAATGATTAAATGTTCATAATGTTATACTTGATCTGTAAATAAAGATAAATGGTTTCGCATAAAAGGAATTCATCTTGCTGGAGTTTCTTGCTGTTTCTAAATCGTGTAAATTTCTACCTGATATCTGGTTAATCACAAGACTGGAGTAGAAAGCACTATGAATTGCTCGTCACGAGCACAGTAACTGAAATTTAAACCCGTTAAAAGAAAAGGCTCCATAAACTTTAATACACTATGCATCAATATCTCTTAACTTTGTGCTTTGAACTTCTCTGTGGAACTGTGTGCTGTGACTCCCGTGTTGCTTCAAGCGCATCGTTCTGCGCACGGGATGCGCCTAATCGCTTTGAGCCGCTCTGTATTTGGAGCCTTTAGTATCGTAATACTTATGCGCAATGAGAGATTATTAATAGCCTTTCTTGTTCGTCTTATCTATCATATGTTGCTGCCTCATTACTCTGCTATACATTTAAAAGAAATGTCTTTTAATTTATACAGTATTCAAAATTTTAAGTGGATCAAAATAGTTAATCAAAGTTGTGCTAAGACAAGAACGGGTATTGTTTTGGTTTTAAGACAACTTGATGAAAGGTTTTGATTCACTTCAAATGTTGACTACTATAGAATATATTTATATATAAATATATGACTTTTTTCATTTCATGTATTTTACAACAATACAAAGAGCAATGTGTAGGCCTACCAGATTTAGTCCTATAGTCCTACACTTTTATTTGTTACCCACTAAATAGTTTTTTTTTTTTTCAATAGAAGTTTAGGATTTTATAAAATTGTGCACTCATGATTATCCGTTAATCTAGTTTATAATAGTATTTTTGTCATAGATGATGATTATATATTTTTTTGTTTATTTTTTCTTTATAATGAAGCTGTCTATATTTAGTAGATTGTGCGTGTAACATTCAAAAGGGTGATGATGGACCTACACATTGAGGTATACAAGTTCTACACTGATTTAAAAAATATCGGTATTGGTTCTGAAAAAGTTGTATCGAGCCAGCCCTACACAGAACACAGGGATTGCTAACGAGACATTGTTGACATTACAGCTGCTCGAGTGCGGAGAAAATGGAGGGCAGCATACAACCAAACACAACTAGCTGAGGGCGGAAACTATAGCAATGCAGGGCTGTCAATCAGCCCCAGTGGCCTGGCCCTATGCAATGTGATGTCACATTGCATAGAGAATCAAAACGGCAGGCCTAGTGAGACTGGTTTGGTTTAAAGGGGATTAAAAAATGAGGAGTGGGTGAATTTTTATCATTGTAGGGTGGTTGTGTTCACACACTGTCAACACACATTTATGTCCAAACACCATGTAAAAGTGGATTTTGCATAATAGGATTCATCTTGCTGGAGTTTCTTGCTGTTTCTAAATCGTGTAAATTTCTACCTGATATCTGGTTAATCACAAGACTGGAGTAGAAAGCACTATGAATTGCTCGTCACGAGCACAGTAACTGAAATTTAAACCCGTTAAAAGAAAAGGCTCCATAAACTTTAATACACTATGCATCAATATCTCTTAACTTTGTGCTTTGAACTTCTCTATGTGGAACTGTGTGCTGTGACTCCCGTGTTGCTTCAAGCGCATCGTTCTGCGCACGGGATGCGCCTAATCGCTTTGAGCCGCTCTGTATTTGGAGCCTTTAGTATCGTAATACTTATGCGCAATGAGAGATTATTAATAGCCTTTCTTGTTCGTCTTATCTATCATATGTTGCTGCCTCATTACTCTGCTATACATTTAAAAGAAATGTCTTTTAATTTATACAGTATTCAAAATTTTAAGTGGATCAAAATAGTTAATCAAAGTTGTGCTAAGACAAGAACGGGTATTGTTTTGGTTTTAAGACAACTTGATGAAAGGTTTTGATTCACTTCAAATGTTGACTACTATAGAATATATTTATATATAAATATATGACTTTTTTCATTTCATGTATTTTACAACAATACAAAGAGCAATGTGTAGGCCTACCAGATTTAGTCCTACACTTATTCACTTTTATTTGTTACCCACTAAATAGTTTTTTTTTTTTTCAATAGAAGTTTAGGATTTTATAAAATTGTGCACTCATGATTATCCGTTAATCTAGTTTATAATAGTATTTTTGTCATAGATGATGATTATATATTTTTTTGTTTATTTTTTCTTTATAATGAAGCTGTCTATATTTAGTAGATTGTGCGTGTAACATTCAAAAGGGTGATGATGGACCTACACATTGAGGTATACAAGTTCTACACTGATTTAAAAAATATCGGTATTGGTTCTGAAAAAGTTGTATCGAGCCAGCCCTACACAGAACACAGGGATTGCTAACGAGACATTGTTGACATTACAGCTGCTCGAGTGCGGAGAAAATGGAGGGCAGCATACAACCAAACACAACTAGCTGAGGGCGGAAACTATAGCAATGCAGGGCTGTCAATCAGCCCCAGTGGCCTGGCCCTATGCAATGTGATGTCACATTGCATAGAGAATCAAAACGGCAGGCCTAGTGAGACTGGTTTGGTTTAAAGGGGATTAAAAAATGAGGAGTGGGTGAATTTTTATCATTGTAGGGTGGTTGTGTTCACACACTGTCAACACACATTTATGTCCAAACACCATGTAAAAGTGGATTTTGCATAATAGGTGCCCTTTAATTGGTTATCGGTCTGTGCAGTCTAACCTAGTTATCATTATTGGTAAAAACCACTATTGGTTGACCTCTAATAAAGATGAGAACAGTATGTTAAATTTTTTTTACAAAAATTTAGTAAATATTTAGTCTTCTCCACTAACCGCTTTGTAAGATGAGAGAGATAAATGAACATGCGTATGTTTGTATGATGTAAATCATTGTGCACATGCGAAGGGCAGTGATGCATTTTTAAAAAATCTGTTTAAGCAAATGGTCAGATTCGAGTGTTTATATGCTCAATATTTGCCTGTTGATCATATTATACAAGGTTGACACCACCCCTTTTAATCCAGTTGTTATGGTTATTTCGGTGAATTTACACGTTGACCCTGACGTTGACGTTGAGTAGTAATCAGACACAAACTCTCAAAAGTACAGCATCCTACTTCAGCAGTCTGAAGTAAAAAACTAAAGGTTTAATTCTGTTGTTTCTGATGTGTCATTGTAGCCTGCTGAGGAAGTAGCATACTGTTCTCTGTGCAATTGATTAAAACACACTGTTCTCCTGTGATCTCTCTGTGACAGGCTTCTAAATTAGGCTTGCTATCCTTTAACTGTCTCACTCTTTGCCCTTCGTTCTGATTATTCTGAGTTTAATGCTGTATGTTTCTCGTTCTAGGTTTGAGGAAGTCCACTAAGAAGCGTAGTGAGTCTCCCCCAGCAGAGCTCCCCAGCTGTCGGAGGAGCACACGTCAGAAGACCACGGGCTCTTGCGCCAGCACCAGGTACTGAACCGCCAGCCTCTTCAAACCCCAGAGCAGCCTACTTAGCTAGAACATGCACAAGCTAAGCAATACATGTATGTGCCCCACTGGCTGTGCATGACATTTTATTGCTCATTTCCTTTGGAGAAAAATTGCACATACTGGAGAAATATGAGTCTTTCTAGTGTGCATGTATCGAGCCCCTGTTTTTACACATGCTGTCAAATGAAGTATGCTTTGAAAGGCAATCCGCTTGCTAAGTCCTGACGAAAGCATAGCTGTTTTCTGGGTCCAAGCCTCTATTAGTTTCACTGGGCAATACTATCTCAACAGCTGCTTATGAACACTGCACATTTAAGCTAAGCACTTAAATCTTACAGTGTATACTACAGTCTCTGCTCACAGTGTCTGTAGACATACCCTTTCACTTCAATAGGCTGTAGTTAGGGTAAAAGCCATATTACATTTTTTCGAGGATGAAAATGTCTTTACAATGGCACGCATTTTATAAACTTTCTAAATATTCTGATTTTTACAACTGTCAGAACTCTTATGGAGTTTTTGTCTACTAAAAGTGTTTGTTAAAAGTTGTATTATCCATTGAGGATGCAATCCATACTAGTCTTGCTAATGTATTTGTTGCGGTCGTATTTACTGTTTTTACTGTTTACAAAATCCAGGCACCTGAGGGTGAAAGATTTCCCCACACAAATTTGGCAATGGGTTCAAATTTGTCACATGGAATTCTTTTGTTCGGTTACTTACTTTACTGGAACTTCCAGTTCATCCTCATAAGAAATTGGGTGCAACGTTTTGGATTATCTAGTAGAACTTTTTTCTCACTTTATTCTGAATGCTTGGAAACCTTGATTATAATTGGCTAAGTGTAATTTAAAGCCATTGTGAAAAACTTATCACATATCACACACATCACCTCATTACATCAATAAATTCAGTTATTGTTGCTTTATTTTATAAAACATTGCAATGTGTTAGTCTTTTTATAAAATGAGTGAGTCATTGCTAACAACACCCCATTCCTAACAATGTCCCATTCACACCAAGAACGATAAATGTTAATAATATTGGCATCTGCACTGATGATAACGTTCTGTTTCTTATTAGTGTGTGCTACAGTTATGTCGTCTTTTGCTTTAAATGCTCACACACTTTAAAGTTGGATTGATTCTGTGCTGTTTGGCTATGGACATTTTATTAAAGTAAATAGTGTATTTTGATAGTTTGGCATCATTTGAGTGTAGTATGTGTGGATTTTAATGAGAATATTGGTCTTTCTTTTTCCCTGTTTTTTTTCTTTCTAGTCGGCGAGGCTCAGGCCTGGGCAAGCGCGGAGCAGCCGAATCTCGCCGACAGGAGAAAATGGCCGACTCCGACAACAACCAGGATGGGGCCAATTCATCGGCCGCGCGCACAGAGGAGACACCACAAGGGGCGTCAGGTAAAAGAGCAGCAGTGTAATGAGATTTTACTATACATTGTATGCCCCTGGGCTTGAGGTTAGGTTTGGGCCCCATACCTATACTACAAATGCCCTCAACTAGAACATTATTATGGAGTAACACAAAATGCACAAAAATTAAAATATGCTTTCAGGTTCATATTCTGTATACAATTAATAGGCAACATGTCTAGCCTAGTCAAAGTTTAGATATAATATTAAATAGTCACTATAATACAATAAACAGGATGTGATCTCTCAGGTGTGAGTCAGACAGCAAGACGAGACGGCAAAAAGAAAGGATGTGATGTACAGAACATGGTAACTACAGTAATTATCAAAGTGGGAATTGATGCCCTCTGGGGGCATTTGGCCAGGGGTGTTTTTACACCACAGACAAGGTTTGAGAAGAAAAAAATCATTATGAAAATATAATTATAATTAAATGTTCTTTCTCACTTCAGGCCTTATTCTAATGTCATATATAACTGTGATGTTCTGCAAAACAACAAGCTTTAAAACACTGTTTTCTTACTGGTGAAAATCAGATGGTCAAATCTGTTTTCTCTCAGGTACATCGCAGTGTAAGCTTCACAGTGAACATTACTACATCACTGTACTGACTCTCGTCAACGTAGTCCATATCAACAACAAAAATGTCTCGACTCCATATAGTGGTTATTTTGGGATAATCCCAGGTATTTTGAGCAGCAGGATTATAAAAAATGTGCTAATATAAAATAAAATTAAGTAGCCTGTATAAAATCGCTAAATAAATCTATCTATCAGTACTTTTTTACTTGAGTACATAAAAAACCGAGTACTTTTGTACTTTCACTTGAGTAAAATTGAAAAAGGAGTACATTTACTGGAGTAATATTTTATTATGCGTATCTGTACTTTTACTCAAGTACTTGATTTGTGTACTTCGTCCACCACTGATAATTTTTGACTGGCACATAACTGAACAAATGTAAACGGGTTAAGGCGGGGCCCCTGGGCTGCAGCCCATTCAAGCCCAATGGTAAGTCCGGCCATGATTGTATGCGATACTATGACCGTATGAGTTAAGAGCACAATGACTGTCTTAATATCGGCATGAAATGTTTTATTGTATGTTGTGGCCTCCTATGCTCATTTTCTCTTTCTGCTGTGAAGCGTCTAGCTCAGTGGCTGGAGCTGTTGGCATGACCACCTCTGGAGAGAGTGAATCAGATGACTCTGAAATGGGAAGACTGCAAGGTATGTGTGCGGTAGTCCTGTTACTCATGTACATACTATGTACTCCTTTTAGTAATTACAGTTACTAGGTAACAACTAGGTACTAACCCTGAACCTACCCCTACCCCATGTAGTTACCTTATATCACCAGTACTTTCTTAGGTAGGTACACCAAGTACACTGTAAGTACATGTAAGTTCACGTACTGTAAAATAAAGTGCAACTATGTGTGCTCTACCTGTTATTTCATTCATTTCATTGCAGTGTTTTTTTATAAAGTTTAGTTATTTGTGAAGATAATATAATTGTATCTTCAGTGATATTGTTATTATTGTTATATAGTTTTTTTTTTCTTTTAATGAAAATATTCTTTCAGTTTAGTCAATGTCATGTCAGTTCATTTTAACCAACGTTACTTTGATTCAAATGGCATCTAATTTTAGTAGATAAAAATAATGTTTTAGTTGAAGGGAGTATTTAACTGAATATTCAAACATTTTATATGTAACTTTTTTGTTTAAAAACCCTTACATTTAAAAAAACTTGTAGAAACCCTGGGTTGTTCTTGCCTTTCTCTTCTTACCCTCACATCCTACTTTCTTCTTGTCTTCTTTTTGCAGATCACACTATTACAGATGGAGCATAATTTTGATATTGTGAGTATTTCTGTGAGAACTTCTTTGAGTGGGTGCATGTGTCCGTGCAGAGTCAGAACATTGTGCGAGCCGATTGCAGAGAATGGCAATGATTTCAACCATCTATTCAGTCATTCAATTTTGACACTTAAAATTAGAGAATAATGTAATAACTGTTCACCCCATGTGTCCTTTCCTCAGATGAATCATGCATCTCGCGCCCTCACATACATGATGGAGGCTCTGCCACGCTCCTCGGCTGTGGTGGTAGACGCCATCCCTGTCTTCCTGGAAAAGGTAAATTGCACCTCACCATTCCTTTGAAACCTGGCTGCCAATTATGTGGATGGCATAATTAAAGGTGCTATATCAAGGAAAGCAGGTTTTTCTTTTGAAATAATAGTATAAATATAGACATCGAATTTTGCCCCGCTCACTTTTTACCAACTAAGTTGCAAAAACAAGTTACAACATCACAACCACTGTCAGGTATTACACTTACATTCACATATTCAGTGTCTGCCATCTTGATGGGAGTCTGACATTTCGTATATGAGGAAGTTAGCCAGTCATGAAAAAGAGGTGTCTTTGTATATGTTGTCTCAAATCCATGTTTCCCTTGTGCCCACAGCTTCAGGTAATACAGTTTATCGATGTGGCAGAGCAAGCTTTGACTGCCCTGGAGATGTTGTCACGGAGGCACAGCAAAGCCATCTTACAGGCTGTGAGTACTGATGCTTTCTGAGTGTCGTGTTTCTTAATTACTAGATCAACCAATATGATAAGACACCAGTCAAACTGAATTAAATTTAATAATCACAAAAAAACTTCAAAGCATTAAAATAGAGTAGATGTGTGGACACCGGTGTGCTTTGAATGTGGAATCTGTTCTGTTGGCCCAATTTGATTTATTACAGAAAATGACATTCCACTAAGGCTGTGCTGTTTTATTGAAAATGTCTATAGGGAGGTCTGGCTGACTGTTTGCTGTACTTGGAGTTCTTCAGCATCAATGCTCAGAGGAACGCATTAGCCATCGCTGCTAACTGCTGCCAGAGCATCACGACGGACGAGTTTCACTTCGTCGCTGACTCTCTGCCCCTGCTCACTCAGAGACTCACACACCAGGTGATGAGCTGAAAGACAGCCGAGATCTCATTCACAAGAGCAGATGCACGGCTGTCGTGTCTAGATGTGTAACACAAACATAAACACCCCACAAGGAAGTAAGCGATATGTTTGCCGTAGTGTTACTGGTGTGAATCACACCTGTTTGACTTTCAGATGCTGTACTTTGGGTGTAAACAATAAAATCTGTCTACCTCAGGTGTATCAGCATTTTTATTATGACTTTTGTTTTTCAGGATAAAAAATCGGTTGAAAGCACTTGTCTCTGTTTTGCCAGGCTGGTGGACAACTTTCAGCATGAGGAGGTGAGAAATGATTACTCGCACACACAAACACGGCAAATCTTATTAACCTTAAACCTGTGTCTGATCAATTTTAGCAAATTTGTTTGTTTAAATGGTTCATTTCAAGGGGATAATTAGTAAATAAATCACTTAATGAGTTATCACTTACTGTTTCAGGAGTGGATTTTTGTTTTTTTACTTTAAAGCAGCTTTGTATTGTTACACTGTCGGTTATAATATATATTAAATCAACAGTGTGTACTCTTTTTTCCGTTTTACCTGTACACAGATCTCTGCTTTTGTTTGTCAGCAAAATGCTTTGCGTCATCCGGTGGACACTGCACAGCTCCAGGGCTTTCGTTAAAACCACAGATTTTGAACATCCATTTTTTTATATTCTAAAAATGAATTGTGGGGGGTGTTAACAAAAAAGTTAACACCAGTTTTTTTCTCTGCTTTTTTTTTTGTTGTGTTTAGTCATCTTGCCTGCTGTGAAATTAGCCTTTTTCTGCTTTTCATTCTCATTTCTGGCCAGTCATTTAAAGTGCATTTTAGCAGATAATGTTTGTTGTTACATCTCTTTATTATTTATTAGGTAGCCGCAATTTAATTTGTGAGTTCAACTGATTCAATTTTAATATTTCATACAAATGGGCAGCATGTAGGTTTTTTATTTATGTAATTATATAAATACATATTTCCTCATAAAGAGTATTTCAGAATTCCGTAGTTAAACACTACAGAATATGTATAATTTAGTGTGACCTCATTAACCGCTGACCTGTGTGTCACTGTGTCACAGAACCTGTTACAGCAAGTGGCGTCACGGGACCTGCTGACCAACATCCAGCAGCTGCTGGTGCTCACTCCACCCGTGCTCAGCTCCGGCATGTTCATCATGGTAGTGCGCATGTTCTCTCTCATGTGCTCCAACTGCCCATGCCTGGCTGTGCAGCTCATGAAACAGAGTAAGTCACTCACATGCACGAATAGGCAGTCCTGTTTTTATTAGGAAATAAATGGCAACGCTGAATGTGGTTCTTAAGAGCATTTTGTTTTGCACTTATTCAAGATGAAGATCGATATGTGGCCTGTTTTATGAACTTCAAGTAAATGTATATTGAGTGACTGTGCGTTTTGTGTGTTTGTAGATATAGCAGAGACCCTGCGTTTCCTGCTCTGTGGCGCATCTAATGGGAGCTGTCAAGAGCAGATTGACCTCATTCCCAGAAGCCCCCAGGAGCTTTATGAACTCACCTCACTCATCTGGTATATGAAACCTCTCCTCGATCTGTGTGGTTCTGTCAGTGACATCTGATTAACATGCTCTGAGTAAACAGAGAAATTATGAAGCTTAAAGGATTAGTTCACTCCAAAATGAAAATTGTCATCATTGCTGTAATGAGAGTGTTTGATCACTGTTTTATCTCTATGCTGTAGTGAGCTGATGCCATGTCTGCCCAGAGAGGGCATCTTTGCGGTTGACACCATGCTAAAGAAAGGTAGTGCTCAGACCACAGAGGGCGCCATCTGGCAGTGGAGAGATGACAGAGGCCTGTGGCACCCGTACAACCGCATTGACAGCCGCATCATTGAAGTATGTTCAGCGCAGTGCAGATGTAGTTTAACGTGGCATTCAGAAGACCAGTTAATATTTCAGAATCACCATTTGATCTTAATTGCTCACTTTTTCTTAGACTGCACACCAGAACGGAGAAGACGAGATAAGTCTGTCGACACTCGGCCGTGTCTACACCATCGACTTCAACTCTATGCAGCAGATAAATGAAGACACTGGCACTGCCCGTGCCATTCAGAGAAAACCCAACCCTCTGGCCAACCCCAACACAGGTGCACATCCCACACTTATACTATATTTAAAGGGTTAGTTCACCCCAAAAATGAAAATTCTGTCATTAATTACTTCAGAACACAAATTAAGATATTTTTGATTAATTCTGAGAGCTCTCTGACCCTCTCATAGACAGCAATGTAATTACCACGATCCAGGTCCAGAAACGTAGCAAGGAGATCGGTAAAATAATCCATGTGACATCAGTGGTTCAACCGTAATTTTACGAAGCTACGAGAATACGTTTTGTGCGCAAAGAAAACAAAAAATAGCGAATTTATTCAACAATTCGTCTCCCCCACATCACCCTGGTGCCATTTTGGAAAGTATCCACTGAACGTAAACAGTGTATGCTGTTCTGTGTCAGCTGCGTCACGCGGATACGTTGTTTTCGTTCAAAGCATAAACAATGTAGAAAATCAAAAATATCTTCATTTGTGTTCCGAAGATGAACGAAGGTTTTAGGGGTTTAGAACAACATGAGGGTAATTAATGACAGAATTTTCATTTTTGGGTGAACTAACCCTTTACAGGGTTCCCACGCTTCTTGAAAGTACTAGAATTTCAGACATATGGATTCAAGGCCTGGAAAGTACTTGAAAACAAACATAGGTCCTTGAAAGTGCTTGAATTAAATTTGAAATAAATTCTGTTTATGGCGCTATTAAAAAAATTGTCCTATATGTTCTGTCAAAGACCGAACAAGCGGCACTAATGATTGGGGGTGGAGATGGGGGAGCGCGGAAAAAAAAAACGTGTGTTGACGCGCAGCCTAGAGACCTGAGCGGGACAGTTTTCTTAAGCCCGCTCCCCCTGAATTTCTGACCATTACTGCCCACTCCCGCAACGTGTGTGTCACGCTCCCGCAAACATTCTTATTGTCTTATTGTATATATTGCATCAACGAAAATAGTTCCAAATATAGTAACAGCTGAGCCGCTGTGCATCTCTAAAAGCAAACACAGTCGAGTTTCATTCATGAATGAAAGTGCGTTCTTGAACGAATCTAGTGAGTCAGTGATTCATGATTACCCATACATAAAGATTTCATTCCTGAATGAATCAGCTGTTCAAACGAATCAATTGAATGAATGATTCAGTGATAAAAATCAGAGACTTACTGCCACCTGCTGGTGGATTTAGTTTCATTATTAGCGTATAATTTCAGTCATTTAAATCATTTAATATTTCTGTATTCAAAATGTTATATTTAAAACATTAATCTCCACATGAATGTATGAATTTAATTGCACTCATGCCACCTCTGAGCCTCATTAAATGTCTGAAAAGGTACCTACAAACTAATGATTGGTAACTTATTGGTCTTATTCTACTTATTATATTGTTTTAAATATACATTTTAAAAAGCTTATAAACATACATTTTTAAATTTGACAGATGAAAATGATGCCATTGAAAATGTAAAAAGAAAATACCCCTGTAAGTCACTTTAAGGAGTCAAATGTCAGCTCGTATTAGGCTAATTTTTTATCAGAATTTTGGATTATTGATCAGAAGGTGCTCCTATTTTTATTTTTTTAATTAGGAGGACAAGCGCTCCTAAAAAAAAAGGAAGCATAGAGTGAATCAGAGAAAGCTGAGAGTGTAACAGTATATTAGATCCGTGCATGAGGTCTTAAAGAGACCGCAGCCTAAATAAACCTGCTGCTGCCTTTCATTATACAATGAAGACTATCCACTGATATTTTACAGTCGAGTATAGATTATAGTTAGACCTAACTGAAAACATTTCTTGTTTTTGTTTGTGCTATTGATTGTCATTAATTTATTTGTTCTTATTTTATTATTTACTATTTACTTGTCTTTTTTTAGTTAAAATAAGGCCATGTCCACACGTACAGGAGTTTTTCCTCCCGTTTTTTTAAAAATCTCCGTCCACATGGAAATGCAAACGCGTGGTCCATGAGAAATAGTCCTGCCACCACAGCTGGAAAAAATCCTAGAGGAAACACTGCATGCATTTAATAAAATTAGAAAAATGCATTTACAAAGCTATAAAGAAAATGCCCCTGAAATCACTTTGAGTCAAATGTCAGCTCATATTATGAAGGCTAATTCTTGATCAGAATTTGATTATTGATCAGAAGGTCCTCCTACATTTTTTAAATTAGGAGGATAAGCGCTCCTAATTACAAGACGACAAACACTGCTCTTAAACTGGGGGTGTGACTGGTATGGCTGTGGAATGGGGTTTGGCTGAGGAAAAATTCAGTCAAAAGATTTTTTTTGCTTTAACCCCATAATTTTCGCACATCAGGGAGCCGCTATCAATATCCGGGGTATTGAAATCGCATTTGAATAAGCGCTTGCTGTTCAATTTCACTTTCGATTTTGCGATATAGCGGCACTCTGTGTAAAGGGAGCACATCTTACAGTGTGTGCATAATTATTAGGCACGTTGATATTCTGATCATATTTTTTTCCAAGCACATTTTACCAATTCCAAACCACATCAATCTTAATAACTACTATTATTTTTGTATTTAATAATTTAGAAGTGATACTGTATATAATTGTCCATGAAGGCTAGAAATGAAAAACTCCTTAAGGTGTGCAGAATTATTAGGCAGGGTTTTTTTATGGCTGAAATGAGCCAAAAAAAGAGATTTAACTCCGACTGAGAAGACAAAAATTATTAAATCCCCATGAGAAATATTAAAAACGAATGCAATACAGAAATGTCAAAGTTAAGGCATGACCATTGGTCAGCAAAATGCTCACTGGGACAGCGGGGTCAGAAAAAAACCGGTGAAGAAGAAAAGACAAACGTTAACTGCAAAAGAATTAAGAATTAATGTGAAGAATTAGGTGTGAAACCATCAGGAAGCATTTAGTCTCTAGCGCCACTATTTTCCAGAACTGCAACCTACCTGCAGTCTCCAGAATTACAACGTGTCAGATTCTCAGAGACTTTGCTTGGGTAAAAAATCCTAAAAAATGACCCTCACTTAATTAGAATAACATGCTGAAGTGTTGTGAAATACATGAAGACTATATTTATAGGCTTTATGGACAGATAAGTTGAGAGTGACTCTTGAAGGACCAGCACCACATCCTCTTGTACCACTGTTAGAAGAATTGATCTTCCAGAATCTGGCAGGAAGTTTTAGGAGCTCATTTTTGTCAGTCTCTGCAAGACAGACTTTTCAGAATAGGAGATGGACTAAAAATGAACTCCCAAAACTTACTGCAACATGGAGCTAAGGAGAAAATGTAGAACTTGGAAAAAATGGAAAAACGGCTTATTGAAAGCGTTTACAGTTTAAAAGCAAATAGAAAGTCCTATTTTTTTTTTCTTAATATTTTTTTTGCAGATTTGCACATGTACAAGGTTTAAAAAATACTGACTTTTTGAGCTGCTGCATGTTTAAGCAGCTGCATTCCTCTAGGTCAGGGTTCCTCAAATCTTGCCCTGGAGGTCCAATGCGCTGCAGAGTTTAGCTCCAACCCTGATCAAACTCCGCTACCTGTGAATGATCCTGAAGACATTTATTAGCATGCTCAGGTGTGTTTGATTAGGGTTAGAGCTAAACTCTGCAGGAAAGTGGATCTCGTGGGCCAGGTTTGAGGATCCCTGCTCTAGGTCAAAGATGAAAAAATGGGATTTACAATAAAGTAATTTACAAAATTATTTTGACTTGAGTTTATTTATTAATGAGTAACATATCTTTTGAGTGAATGTGCAAATTTGTAATGTTATCAGCTTTTACCATGTTATTACAACATTTAACCACTTTTTATTAATTTAAAAATTGAGAAATTCTTTCAAATTTAAATCTTGTACAAAAACTACAGCAAAAATCAATTTGATGCATATTTTATAAATTTTTGAAATTTAATTTGAATATTACCAGTACTGACTTCAATGGATTTCATTAAATCCCTTTGAACACAACTGCTCAAAACGGTCTAAATTTATGAAACCTACACATTCAAAACATTTTTACTCTGAAATGTTTAATGTAAATGTTAAGTGTAAGTGAAATGTTAAGTACTGTAAGGTCTTTCATGACACTACATATGCTGGGGTGTGAATTTGATAGGTGATTGATATAAAATAAATGGTGCTTGAAAAAGTCTTTGAATCTGGTGTTCATGAAAGAGTGGGAACCCTGCCTTTAATATTCCGTGAAAAATGTAGGGATTTTTTTTCAGATATCAATAACTAAAATTGGAAAATGTCACAAAGTAATTAACAATAAAATAAATATGAATGAAAAATGTAAAATAATGCCGCATTGTATTGTTTCAGCACTTGTAATTAAGATAAATTAAAATGCATAAAAACACATGGCACTACTGACACTGATGCTATATTATTATTATTTTTATATATGATATATATAATCTACAAGAAATACAGAAAGACTAGAAATTGTCTTTTGAAGCAAGGGATTGGATGATCAGAAGCAAGATGAGCTATTAACATTTGTCACATTAACTTGGTGGACATTAACATTATGAAATTTTGATTAACAAGATCTACTTCACAGCATGTCTTCTTTGGAGTGCATGTTTGTTTGGATCGCCTTCAACTCTAAATATGATCTGTACAATTCAAAAGTCGTCTCTTTTTATACAAAATGACAAAGTAAAGGCTTGTTCACACCGGGACGAATATCGCGTGTGATTATCGCTGACGTTTAACATGACTAAACAAAGGACGCCAATGTGAGTGTGCACACCGACGCGCAATACGCGAGGTGTAAAAGCGTCATTTTATTAAAAAACACCTCTGGCTTGTTTTTTTGGTTTTACACGCCCGTGTTAAAAACTGGCCGACCAATGAGATTGGCGCTTTTGTTCACGTGCCTGGAGTTGCTGAATTTTCGGTAAAACAAGAAGATGCATCGAGGCAAGATGAATGTAGAGCAGCTGGTCTCATTGGTGTCTGAACGCAAAGGGCTTTATGACAAACGCAACAGCGACTACAAAAATCTCGATAAGAGGGAGTTGTTATGGAGAGGAATTGCAGATCGATGTGTACCGGGGTATTTTTGTTTTTCATTAAGCGCCATCTAATGTCAGGGAGTGAATTTGCACTTTGCATCGCCAGCAAAAATCGCTTGGGTATGAACACAAAAGACGCGTCGAAAAACGCCGGCGATAAGCACGCGCGATAATCGTCCCACTGTGTATGAGTCTTAAGGCAAAAATTATGTGCCTATCCTTGACTTTGTAACTTGTAAATCTTAACATTGAAACTGATGTTATCCTCTTATATTGTCGGCAAACATGCAGTACTCCAAGGCCAAAGTTTGTGAAAGACTTGGAAGTGTAGATAAGTAAAACCATTCATAGTAATCAAATAATTCTGGTGTAATTGAAGAAAAAAGTCCACAAAGCAACTGTCTGTGCCATTTAATCAGCAAATATTATATATTGGGCAGCCTCTACTGTCAAATAATTATGACCAGTGTGAAAGCAAACACACTGGCAATGGAATCAATAAACAGGCAATCTAATTTTACTTCCATAAATGGGGCACATTACCAAATTATAAAGGATGTTTAGCAAGAATAAAATGTTTTAAAATAATAAATAGTGTAAAACTGTGTCCGTCTTCACAGGAGGGCACTTGGAGGTGCGGCGAGAAGATGCACGTGCTCAGCTGATGAAAGAGGACCCTGAGCTGGCCAAGTGCTTCATAAAGACTCTGTTTGGGGTTCTGTATGAGGTGTACAGCTCCTCAGCTGGGCCTGCCGTCAGACACAAGTGCCTTAGAGCCATCCTCCGGATCATCTACTTCGCAGATGCAGAGCTGCTTAAAGACGTACTACGCAACCATGCTGTGTCTAGGTCAGTCTGTGAGTGCAGAGCTCTGTGTGAAAGCAGGAAGATGTTAATTATCATCATCACCACTGTCCTGGTGTTCGTTTGTGCACCTATTTCCATTTCAGTTTTACATTTAAGTGAAGATACATGGCTTATGCAAAGCTTGTTAGAGTATTTGTTTGGTTTTACTAATCCTGAACTTTTGTCTGTAGCCACATAGCTTCCATGCTGTCCAGTCAGGACCTGAAGATTGTAGTGGGCTCTCTGCAGATGGCTGAGATCCTCATGCAGAAGCTTCCAGATGTGTTCAGTGTTTATTTCAGGCGAGAAGGTACTGGATCTGGTTTTTATATTAGCTTCACACCAAACCTCTGCAGAAGTTACTTCAAAGAATCAAAGATTACTGAAAAACAAAAAGTTGTCTCCAACATTACTCATCCCCTGCAAAAACATATATTTCATTACAATAATGCATTACACCCAACACTGCTGTTTTATCGCTCTTGTTCTGTTTAGGTGTTATGCACCAGGTAAAGAACCTCGCTGAATCCGAGGTGTTCCTCACCAGCCCTCCGAAAGCATGCACCAGCGGCACAGCTAGTCTTTGCACCACCACCATCACCACAGCAACCACTACAGCAGCTTCTAACATCACACCCGACTTAGGCTCGCCCAGTTTCCAGCACAGCATGGACGACTCGCTGGACCTCAGTCCGCAGGGGTATAGAGCCACTCTCACACGCACCGTTACTGATCTAGAGTTTGCAGACTTGGTAGCTAATGTCTTGCCATTTAAAGTTTGAACCCTCTGTTCTCTAGTAGGTTGAGTGATGTTCTGAAAAGAAAGCGCCTTCCTAAAAGAGGACCAAGGCGTCCCAAGTACTCCCCACCCAGAGACGATGACAAAGTGGATAATCAGGGTACGTAGTCCTTGTGTTGAGAATTACAGTGGTGCCAAAAGTACTTGATGTCTTATCTAATACAAAGACATTCATACAGTTTTCAGTGCTTTGTAGGTTCTAGGGCTGTGTATCACCAGCAAAGTCACGATACGATACGTCTCACGATACAGAGGCCACGATACGATACATATCACGATACATGACTGCACTGAATTTCACCTCAGCAGAATTTAGAAAAACAGCTGTTTATTAAACACTGCTTACTATAGGGCCATTTCTAACTATTGGCAGAGCAGGCAGTTGATCTCTGCATTATGAAGGGCCTCCATAACTGTACCACAGTACAATTATAGGTAATTGCGTATGTTTCATGTTTACATTGTGCACTCCCCACCAGGTACAATATTCTGATTGTTTGCATCTTGTTTTTAAGCCCATAAATATTAATCTACTTGTTCTAATAAATGTATATTGTAATGTACTCATTCTAATATATTTAAAAAAATTATTTACATTGCTGGTAGGTTATCATTGCACAAATTAACACGCTCTACAATAAAAAATTAGAAGAGTTCTAATCTAACGCACACACTCTCAAGGCTGATTTAAGGCTGATTTATACTCGACGCGTTCGCTTTGAGTGCGCGCGACGTCGTTTCGCGTGGCGGTGTGCACAACATTTTTTGTAACTTTCCACGCAGCTCCGCTTCCGAAGATGCACAAGTTCAAAGCGACTCTAGCCGAACATGCACGTATGTGCCAGCATTTGTGTGAAACAGAAGCAGTTTAGTGCAGTCACACACACAGATCACTCAGGAACAAACTTTTTAGCGCTGCCCCGCAGTTTTATCAACTAAATAGCTTAATCGCTCAAGAGCTACATTATCTTTCTCGACAAGGAGCTGGTAGCATCATTGTTTCTAAAGCAATTAAAGCCACAGCTTTACTGTTAATTGAGAAACGCGGCAAAACGGTGGTAATTCATACATACACAGCCTCTCTCTCTCTCTCTCTCTCTGTGTCGTAAATGAACAGTTGATAAATCACACTTTTCTAAGAATAAAATACTGAAGTGGAGATCGCTAAACTGCAAGCTAACCAGTGTTTTCAGAAAGAAAGCACGTTTATCCACAGTGGAGAGAGAGCGCGTATACAGGGTTGCCAGGTTGACAAAGATAAGTAGCACATTTAGCAGATATTTCCATATTGCGCAAGTGTGAAGCTCTGTTTTGGGGATTACGTTTCTTTATATCAGACAACCCAGCTGTGTTCCTCTGCGGCCAGATTAAACCTTGTTGTAGCCTATATATGCTCTTTTCATTCTTTTTTAGAAACCTTGCACTTTTCTACTCAATTTTAAACGTTGTAAAATTTTAAACAAATTAAGCGCAGTCCACTGCTGCACACGTGCCACAATATCGATACAGGGCCAGCTGTATCGATACTCGTATCGTCAAATCTCTGTGACGATACGGCGTCGTATCGATATTTTGAACACAGCACTAGTAGGTTCAGCTGCTTTTTTGGTGTCCTGTTTTATTTGACCATTGCGTATGCTTTATTACACTTGTGACTGTTGTAAATGCTTTATTACCTTACTCTGCGTATCTCCTCCACAGCTAAGAGTCCTACAACCACACAGTCCCCCAAGTCCTCTTTCCTGGCCAGTTTGAATCCCAAGACCTGGGGTAAGCTGGGGACTCAGACAAACAGCTCCAACTCAGAGCCCTCGCGCACTGCAGGGGTCAGTGGTCTGGCACGAGTGCCGCCCAAGGACTCTGTTTCAAACAACAGGTAAAGCTACGTCTTTATTTGTGTTCTGATTTTTTTATAATGTAATTAGGTTGTCACTGTCATTCTTCAGACTCTTGGTTATAGTTTAGAGGTTGCAAAATACAAGTTCTTTTGATATCCATAGTTCATTTTTTGGACGTTTTAGGGATAAGATAAAGGCTTGGATAAAAGAACAAGCCTGCAAGTTTGTGGAGCGTTACTTTAATTCTGAGAGCTTGGATGGAAGCAACCCTGCACTGAACGTCCTGCAAAGACTCTGTACTGCCACAGAACAACTGAACCTGCAGGTAACCCCAGACACAAAGTTGGCATTTGTAGCCATTATAAAGCAAGTTATTATGCTGATTCGATCATGCTGCCTAATTTAAATGTTTTATCACAGAAGCAATAAGCATGTTATGAAGCACTTTATGATGCTGTTTATCACTTTTTAATGTGTATGGTTTAGAAAGAAAACCATATTTGTGTTTTTGTTGTCCGGTGGAATGTATTCTTTCTCTCAAACTGTGTTTTTATGCATGTTTCAGGTTGACAGTGGTGTAGAGTGTCTAGAGGAAATGAGCAGTATTGTATCTGAATCAGACGTGTCCTCCTTTGAGATCCAGCACAGTGGGCTTGTGAAGCAGCTGTTGTTGTATCTGACATCAAACAGTGAACGGGACACTATCAGTAGAGACGAGAGAATCAAGAGGTTCCTGCATGTGTTCTTCGGCTGCCCGGTTAGTGACACTTGAATGAACACATACAGCTTCCTGTCCCTCACAATGCTGATTTTCCTGCTTTTTCTCCAAATACTATCAATTACTTTTAGCTGAGCTATTGGCACAGCCTACCCCAAAGCATCTCTGACACTGAAATTTATAGGAACATGTATGTATGTTATATAGAGACAGCAAGGCAACTCACTTGGTTTTGTAACAGTGTTACACTTTTTCCTTAGCACTGAATGTATTTGACACGTTAATTGGGCTGTTTGTTTGTAGTAGTTACTGGTGTGATCAGTGTGACTCATTGTTTGCTATATGTGATTCAGATACCAGGACAGGAACCTCTGGGACGTTTGGACCCAACGGAGAATGGCCCACTGCTGGCATTGGTGCACAAGATGAACAACTGCCTTAGTCAGATGGAACAGTTTCCTGTTAAAGTGCATGATTTTCCCAGTGGGAACGGCAACGGAAGCAGGTAATTCCCTCTGTACTCTCTTCTTTAATGTTCTTGTTGTAAATACATCCATTTATCTTTCCTTTCATTTTCTACTTTCTACTTTTTTTTATTATAATGGATTCAAACCAAAAGCTAAGATTATATGTAACCCTGGACCACAAAACCAGTTTAAAAGGGTCAGTGTTTTGAAATTGAGATTTATACATCATCTGAAAGCTGAATAAATAAGCTTTCCATTGATGTATGGTTTATGATAGGACAATATTTGGCTGAGATACAACTACAGCAGTCAACATTTGAAGTCGATCAAAAAAGTTCATCAAAGTTGTCCTAAGACAAGAATGCATTTTGGTTTTAGGACAACTTTGATGATGAAAGGTTTTGATCCACTTCAAATGTTGACTTCTGTATTTGAAAATCTGGAATCTGAGGGTGCAAAAAAAAAAAAAAAAAAAAAAATTGAAAAATTTTTCTTTAAATTTTTCAAAA